AACGAGCCTCGACTTCTGTAATGGGAGGTTCATTCCGTTAATTAAAACGGCCTCTTAATTGCGCAGCAGAAATTGCCCTTATACCAAACACGCTTGTCACCAACGCGGTTCGTTTCTATTCGTGTGGCTGAATTCTAAAGTGATAGGAAGTCGCTTCTTACTAATGACGCCGTTCCGTGCAAGAACAGCGGCGTCGCGCGCACGTTTACTCTTGGCTGTATATTTACAGCGGTGTTTGTGCAATCGAATGCGGCGAAGGTTTTCGTTCTCCACGGACACAGGCAAACGAACACCGGTATGACACATGCGATGCGTTTCAGTGACACGATCGCATCAGCAGTAGAGCAACGTTGCAACATGAACATAGCGCGTGCAGGACAATCGCTCCACGCAACACGTGTGTTGCATTCAACTTACAATTACAGCACAGTGTTGAAATTGAGGAGACACTTACCATGTTGCTCCGTATACTGTGTGGTCACCATCGCAGACATCGTGGACAATAGCTGTTGCACGTTTGGCGTGACATCCATTCCACACGGGTGAATAGCGCTGAACAGGCAAACGAACGATGCGGCGATGCTGGTAAACCCCCTTGAAAACAGACAGCGGAAGAGACCACGCGCAAGGTATCCTGGGTAACGCGGCAGCTTCCGCCTTGCTTCAGCAGATTATGATGATGATGATGATGATGTATAAAGGCCTCTCCTTTGAATCGGGGTGACGGCATGCGCCATCTAGCCTACCTTAATAGTTCGAGTTTAAATTTTGTCCCTCAACTCGGATGTCTTTTTAATTTTGCCCAGCCGCTACTCTTGTCTGGGATGTTATTTTATCGACTTCTCTGCTTTTCCTCCACCAATACTCCAGCCGCTGCTTAGTAATACCTACTGCTGACCAGTTAATGCTTCCATCAACCGCGAAGCCCAGCGCCTCAGGAAGTGTGACTTTCCCCCCATTTCTATCCGGCTGAATCTTTTGGCATTCCATGACTATGTGGTCGATTGTTTCTTTATTTATGCCACATCCCACACATGTCTCATCCTGTGACGAATATTTGCTCCTGTAAGTTAGAGTTCTCAAGCAGCCGGCCCGCGCCTCAAAGAGCAACGTAATACCTAATGAAAAACTATATTTTTTACCCTTAAAAAAAAGAGTTTGAGGATTCGTACTTTGCAGTGAAGAGTTTAATTTTCACTCGTGCCTTGACTTTAGCCACCAATCAGATAACCTCCTTCTAGTTAGGTCTACCCGCTTAAAGTTTATTTTGCCCTCCCGGTCCCTAAACCCCAGTGCTATTGAAAAACTCTGCGCCATCATCCTGAACTATAGGGTGAAGCCCTTTACAGAACATTATCAAGTTCGGCAGTTTCTTCTTCCTCTCCACACGCACTGCATACTGTGGCGGGTTGTGTCAGCGCCTCCTAGAATTTGTGGCTTTGGTTGTGTTCCGATGGTGGATTTGGAGGATTTGCTCTACGCCAGAGTCAAGGCTCTGTTCTATCGCCTGTGCTATTTAACATTTTGTTAAGTTCAATACCACAGAGTGATAAGGTACACGTATATGTATATGCAGATGATATCGCGTTCTTTGCATCTGACAACGATATTTATTCACTACATTCGACTTTACAGTGTTATTTGGCAACATTGGAAACCTAGTTTCAGAAAATTCATATGAACCTGAACGTAACTAAAAGTGCTATAATAGTTTTTCCGTTGGATGCACCAGTTACTATTTCTCTTCAGTACCATCAAGAAATAATACCCTAGGTTAATTGTATTAAATATCTGGGTGTACTGTACGATCAAAAACTGAGCCGGCGTGACCACATTAAATATATTAAAATTAAGGCTACACGCGCTGTTGGAATGATAGGTAGGCTTGGCCGCCTCCGTTCCGGTCTTCGCAGAGATACGCTGATCATGATTTATCGCATGTACGTTCGTCCGATTCTTGAATTCGGATGTGTACTATTCTCTGGTGGACCAGCATACAAAATAAACCCCCTCCTTCTCTTAGAGCGGGAAGCCCTACGTAGTTGTTTAGGTGTGCCAAAATTCACAGCTAACAATGTTTTGTATCAAGAAGCTCGGATACTGACCCTTGCTTGCAGATTTCGTATTTTAACAGTAAACACCTATTTAAAATTTTCTGAATCCACTTTAAGAAGGCGACAATTGGTATTCTTTGCCGAGCCTGGTGTATTTTTCAATGAGCATTGGTCCCGTGTATATAAACCCCAAGTGCTATTTGTTCAAACACTTCTAGATGCTTTAAATGTTAATATATTCGAGATCACACCATCTGTCAAACCAATCGGCCAAGTGCAAATAGAATTTGACGATATCTTCCCCATGAACGCTAAAAACTTGCCCTCTAAATATTTGATTGGTTTATTAGAACAACACCTGTCTCAATTAGGTACTAATACAGTAATTGCAACGGATGCATCTATGAGTGGCGACAAGGCAGGTGTGGGTATTTTTTCTCTCTCATTATTCTGGTTATTTTCATTACGCCTCCCAGATTATACACCAATATCTGAAGCGGAATTAATGGCCGTTATACTAGCTATTCGTAAACTTCCTGCGACTCATTCGACAGCTGTGATAGTGACTGACTCGTATTCCGTGTGTTCATTCTTATCATCGTCGTCGACATCAGCAGTACTAGAGACTTTTAAATAATTAATCCCAGCAAACATTCGTCTAGTGCGAATGATATGGGTGCCAGGCCATCTTAGTATATTTATAAACGAGATTGCTGACAAACTTGCGCGAACATCTCTTGATCTTCCGATTGTGCCAATCATGCCTCCTACAGCTTATGTAACAGCAGCGAGGTTTAGAAAACTTTCCCTTCTTGAAGACTCATCACAAACCATGATACCGAATCCAGATTTCTCGCACCTGCACTTCACATGGAATAACAAATGGTGTCCCACGCGTAAATTGGAAGTCTCAGTAACAAAATTACGTTGCCGCGTACCACCTCTTAATTTCTACTTAAACAGGTCTGGTCTGGTGCCATCCCCTCTGTGCTCAAGCTGTAACGAACCTGAACATATCGACAATTTTCTTATCACATGTCACCGATTCAAAAATCAAAGAAAAAACTGCTTCGAAATTTTATTCAGAAAATTAGGAATATCACCTAATACTCCCAATATTTTGTCTTTTGGGGCCACTTCATTGGGACACAGCGACAGGAACATCTGCGGGGCTCTCTGCGAATTCATATATAACACAAGAAGATTACCTTGCTGAGTCAGCGATCTGCTCTCGAATTTTACTAGCCACACTACCACTTATTATTTAGCTGATACACTGCAATGATTCAACTTTCAGGGGAATTTCATATCACGATTCCACCACAGATATTCAACAAATATTATTTCTCCCCCCCCCCCCTTTTTTTCTCTTTTTTTCTGACATTGCGCCAAATTAATTTCACAGTCAAAACACAGTAATCATATTCCCCTAATCTAGAAAATCTAAAGGTATTTACTTGCATTAACCACCGGCTTGTTGACCAATCCCCCTTAGTGGGTGAGAGCCACAAAAGAAAGGAACAAGCAAGCAAGCAAGTCGAGTGCTCGCTCGCGAAGTCGGTCGGCTGCACCGACTCCGGCATTCGAATTCAACATCACAAGTTCGTCGTCCAATCAGTCGCGTTTTTCTTGGCTGTCGCATCGTTTCTTAGATGGCTTCGCTTTCACGCGTGTCCACAGCGGTTCGTTTATTCATTATTGATGGATGTTAGTCGTCGGGATGGAGATGCATGACTAAGCATTCACGTGGATGCATCCACGTTAAGCGGTCCTATATCGGTCAAACACCAATAGACATTGTGCAGGCTCTCTTATATCAATGTACAGAAAACATTAAACTAATTCTGTAAGGGCACGTTTTACTTAAGTGTTTTACAGATTCCTATGACGAAGGGTTCAAACTTTTTTTTTGCCAATGTATCAATGCATACATAGCACAAAGTTACAGTCGACCACATTTGCATGCCTGCCAAGCCCCCACTTCAAATCGATGTGATGCCCCTCCCAAAAATCTCTACGTCGACGCCCTTATTGCTGACGATGAGCACCAGTTTCTAATTCGGATACAGAGCACGTCTTCGCGTATGAATTTAACAAAAACAGAGATCCAATAAAGGCTAGACAGATCACCTTCAACCCGGTTTTGCCATGTGAAGCTGGGCCGGGCTATAAAGCTGGGCTATTCTGGTAAGATCTACCAGTCAATTTAAGCCTGAAGCTTCAAAGAAAATATGGAATCTTCCATAGTTGTTATGTCTCGGGCAAAAACTTTCTGTTCTACATGAAAGATATGCTGGCCCACTGAAATCACTGTAATTCATTCAATTACTTGCAACTTAGCTTTGACTTGAAGACCAAGCAAGAGAAAAAAAACACACCTGTGCTCTCATTTTTATGTTTTTTTTTTACTTATTGAAGAAGACATCATTAATCGTTCAACAATAAAAACTCGATTCACAAAATTGGTTCTGCTCTATTTGGCTTCGATGACATTGCCACTCGCGGCTATGCTTATTCCGAGTAGTGGCTCGGTCCTTTTCAAACATTTCCAAACCCGTATAGGCATAGTGTCCAGCGCTTGCTGAGTCAGCGATCTGCTCTCAAATTTTACTAGCCACACTACCACCTATTATTTAGCTGATACACTGCAATGATTCAAGTTTCAGGAGAATTTCATATAACGATTCCACCTGAGATATTCAACAAATCCTATTATTTATCCCCCCCCCCTTTTTTTTCTTTTTTTTTACATTGCACCAAATCAATTTCACAGTCAAAACACAGTAATCATATTCCCTTAATCTAGAAAATCTAGAGGTATTGACTTGCGTTAACCACCGGCTTCTTGGCCAATCCCCCTTAGTGGGTGAGAGCCACAAAAGAAAGGAACAAGCAAGCAAGCAAGCGCTTGTTCGAGCGCGCGCGCTGAGAAGAAGAAGAAGTGTCATGGCGGTGCACATCCCGGCAGTGTTGGCTGTGCTGGTGTACTTCATCGCCGTAGTGTGCGTGGGAGTGTGGTCGGGCCGCAAGGTGCACGTCGTCAAGGAGGAAGGCGCCATGTCGGTGGTACGCGAGGACCTGCGACGCAGAAGGCCGCAGCAGCAGCCCAAGCGCTTCCTCCACAGGCTGTTCCTGGCCGACAGAAGCATGTCGCTGGGACTCGGCATCAGTACCATGACAGGTGAGTCCTGACCACAAGTACCCCGTTGCAGGGCGTGGCCAGCAGAACACCTACAGATATGGCGTGGCTTTCTGACGCGGTGCCACACCCGCTCCTAATATAGAGCTTCGCGCAGTCACGTGACGTCTCTTTTCACATCATGGAGAAGGGAAAAATATGGAGAGGCCATGACGTCATATTCGTGAAGCTGTCCGCATGGATGGATTGGATAGATTGATATGGCTGTACCCTTCAGATCTGGCGGCGGCCAACGCCACCAAGCCGCAATACTTAGTGAGCCGAAAAACTAGATTTTTTTTTCTCTTTAAATAGTGAGGTTGAGGACTCGTACATTGCAGTGAAGGGTTTAATTTTCACTCGTGCCTTGACTTTAGCCACCAATCAGATAACCTCCTTATAGTTAATTCTAGCCGCTTAAAGTCTATTTTGTCCTCCCTGTCCCTAAACCCAGTGCTCTGAAAAACTTTGCGCCATCCTCCTGAACTATAGGGTGAAGCCCTTTACAGAACATTATCAAGTGTATCGGCAGTTTCCTCTTCCTATCCACACGCACTGCATACCGTGTCCACCCCTTCGCTTTGGCCCGATATGTCTTGGTTCGCAATACTCCCATCCTGGCCTCAAACAGTAGAGAACTACCCCGAGCATTATCATAGATCCTTTCCTTGGCAATTTTCTGCTTAAAAGTTCGATAGATATCTAGTGCGGACTTCTTAATCATGCCCATTCTCCTCATATTGTTCTCAGCTTCCTTCACATTCTTCTTAACCAATAACTCTTTTTGGTTTGGCCCCCTGCTGTTTTCTAAGTATTTACCAGTCAGTGGTTCGCTTCCTCCATTTTGTATCGACATTCTTCATGTACAAGCAGCTGAATACCTTCCTAGTCCAATGCTCCTCCCCCATTTCTCTCAATCACTTCTCAAATTTTACCTTGCTGGTAGCTTCCCTGCCCTCAAACAATGTCCATCCCATATCACCTTGTACTCCCTGATTTGGTGTATTCCCGTGATCTCCTAAGGCAAGCCTGCCTATTCCACGTTGCTTAATTTTTAATCTTGCTTAAATTTCTGATCTCATGCACAAGACCGCATTGCCAAACGTCAGACCAGGAACCATGACCCCTTTCCACATTCCTCTCACAACATCATATCTATTGTAATTCCACAGTGCCCCGTTTTTCATCACCGTTACATTCCTGTTACCTTTAGTCGTCACGTATATTTCGTGTTCCCTTAGGTACTCGGCCCCATTGCTTATCCACACACCTAGATATTTGTATTTATCTGTTATCTCTATGCGTGACCTCCAGTATTCTAAGCTCACTACCTTCATTGTCATTAAAAATCATGACTGCTGATTTTTCCTTACTGAATCTGAAATCTAACCTATCTCCCTCATTACCGCAGATGTCCACCAATCTCTGCAAATATTCCTTGTTGTCGGCCATTAGCACTAAATCATCTGCGTACATCAATGCTGGTAGTGCCTGTTCAAAGAGTTTTCCTTGTTTGAAGAAAGAGGGGTTGAAGCCCAGTCCACTTCCCTCTAATTTGGGCTCTAATCCTTGTAGGTACATCATGAATAAAAAGGGTGACAGAGGACACCCTGCCTAAGCCCCCGTTTTACCTCTGCAGGTTTGGATACTTGTTTTTCCCACTTTATAACTGCCTTGTACCTTTATAGATATCCTTTAAAATATTAGTGACTCCACCTTCCACACCTAGTGTGTCCAGTATTCCCCACAAGTCCTCTTGAACCACGCTATCGTACGCTCCCTTGGTATCTAAAACTACTAGCCACAGGGGCCTGTGTTCCTCTTCTGCTATTTCGATGCACTGCGTCAGTGAGAACAGATTGTCTTCCATCCTCCTGTGTTTCCGAAACCCATTCTGCAGTTCCCCGAGCACATCCTCATTGTTTATCCATACCTGCAGTCTTTCCTTTATAATCTGCATCGCCAGCCCGTAGAACACTGATGTCACTGTTATAGGACGGTACTTGCATCGCAAACACCCGCCCTACCTCCTAGCGGAGAAGCAGAAAACACTTGGCGATTTCCGGCGACCAGTCGCCACAGCGGCCTTAGAAGCGGTGTTCTCTGCCGGCAGCGAGTAACTTCACGAGTGCTGCTTCTTTTGAGTGTTTTTTTTTCTTTTTAGAAAAGCTGTGCGATGCCCAGGTGTAGTGTATACTCGGTGCGAATCACGTGCACCGCCGTATGTACCTGGTGGCACGCACTTTTCACGTATGTTCGCTTCACTGTTGATGGCAAATTTGCATGCGGAGCTCTCAGCTGTACGCTCCGTTGGCTCTTACTGAGAACACTCGCGAACTTTCTTTTTTACTGTTGTAGGCATCGTGTCGCGTTTTTTAGAAGTTGTGTGGTTCATGCGGAAGGACAATAAACTTTTCTTGTTACCAGACTAAGTGTGTATGCATTGTACGGTGTGCGCGCTCGCTGCGTGTTAGTTGTGTGCGCAGTGGCAATACACACTTTACGTGCGCGATCACGTATACAATACAGCAGCGCCTTCTTACCGACGTGAAGTGCGTCAAGTACTAGGCTGACGTTGCACGGAATAGCTGCGAAGCAAGCTCTCAAAATCGTGCATTGCCTCACTGACACTATATACGAGCAAATAACTGCTAATCGGCCCGTAGATCGGGAAATGTGGCTAAGAGAGAGAGAGAGAAAAAAAAAAGGTTTTGCGGTGAGCAGAACGCGTAAGTCACTGCCGGGTGAGTGCGAATACGATGATGCAGGGGCTGAGTGATTTTCACTCCGACACGTACTGGTGCTTTCTGTGCCGTTGCACAAAAAACACTCCACGAAGTATTTGTTGAATAATTACCGAAAGTATTATTTGTGTTACTATTCGTCGTTCACCCATCGAACCCACAGTTTCACGTTGGGCTGTCACCGGCAATGGTTTCACTGTACGTGCATATTTCGCTTTTATTTTTACGAATACGAGCCCCATCGATACCTAACCAATACCTAAATGACTAATGTAATACATAAATACCTAATACACAGATGCGTAATGTGACACCAACATATATAATGACGCTAGTTTCGTCTGACTGGGGTTCTTAATGTGACACCAACATATATAATGACGCTATAGTTTCGTCTGACTGGGGTTCTTTTATTGTTTTTTTCCCTGCTCCACCATTGTTCTAATGTGCAGCCACGTGGGTTGGTGGCGGCTATCTCAACGGAACTGCCGAGGCTGTCTACACGCACGGCGTAATCTACTGCCACGTCCCAATCGGTTATGCCATCAGCCTTATTCTAGGTGAGTGCACACCGCTGCACCGAGATTCCTAACACCAAAGTGAAACAATTAAATTGGTTCAGACCGATAAATTACACTATGAAAACTCTGCTGTCGTCAATTGAACCACCATGGGTTTATTAACGGATGAAAATGGACGTGAAAAGTTTCACTTTGAAATTTTCCACTGCAGCCTTACGATGATGACTTCATCGATTTCGAAGTGCTTTTCATATCATTTGCCTGTGTTGGCTCAACGAAATTTTCTGAAACTCGCTACGTTACGTCTCTCGCTCCCTCAAACGACAATGCACGTCATTTCCTGCGATTAGGAACTCCGCGAGTCCTAGCAGACGCCGTCAAAACATATGACGTCATGGACTCATGGTGTTTGGTGCGGGAATTTCGAGGTGGGGTCGCCGCCCGCATCTTCTTTCTGCGCGTTCGCTCACTTGGCATGCTATTTCTCGCCACAGACGGGGCGTTTTTTGGTATGGTGAAAAAATAAATTACCTGTGCAAAAAAAAAATGTTCTTAAATCTCCCTAACTCTGGTCATGTAGTTACCATTTGGTATGTGCGTGTGCGTTGTTCATGCGTCAGAATAGTGACCAGGCTGATTCTATTTGACATAAAGTTCTATGACAACGTAGTCACCAAAGGCTTCGCAATATGACACCGAGCTAAACAGCATCGAGGTTCGCGGTCTCGCGTGCAACTTGTACCATTGTTGACTCGTAATTCCGTTGCAGCATTCGTTTCTTTCGGGTTTCGATATAGCGAAATCGGCACTCTCGCCTGCGCTTAACGGGACATAATCGACTGGAGAGAATCTATATGCCCGTAGCTACGTATTACACCAGCACTAGTGTACTGGAGTGTGTCATTGTAGAATCCGCCATCTTGTCGAATCTGATTGGCCCGGAGTGCCTCTATGGCCTTTCTGACTGGCTCGCAATGTCGTACGTCAGTACAAAATATGACGTCATTCTGTCTGGCGAATCAAGCACGCCCTCGCGACAGTAAAGGCGGCTGACAGGCGACAGAGCTAAAAAAAAAAGAAAACACAGGACAGGGGAAACCAACGCGAAGGCTGACAGGTTTATTATACAATCAACTAGTGCGATCCATCAGTATGGATCATTTTAAGTAAGGTGGGTTGGAACTTAATTTTGCAAAATATTCTAATTTTGAGATCTTGCAGTCATTTGTAGAATTTCTTTCTCTTTCAGAAATTATATCCTACTTCGTCCAGAGGCTAACCATTACGCTCAGAAAAGCTAGCATGCGCGCTCATATTACGCGAAAGAACCAGCGACAACGGTGACGTATATTACTGCTTGCTTGTATTCAGCGCTCGTCCTGCCGGCGTGGTCTAGCGGCTAGGGTATCTGGCTTTCACCCAAAAGGCCTGGGTTCTATTCCCGGCGTTGGAAGCGTTTCGGTCTCATGGTGTAATGGTTAGCACTCTGGACTTTGAATCCAGTGATCCGAGTTCGAGTCTCGGTGAGACCTCACATTTTTAAAATTTGTTTTGATTGCTGGTTCACAGAAAACTCAGAATTTTCGTTTCTAGTCAATGCTAGGCGTACAAGATGCAACATTTTATTGAGTTCATCTTTCGTTCTTCTTTAACTAATTACACACACTTCAGAAGTCACTTTGCCTACAGAGGCCCCATATAGCAAATGGTTGCAGACGCAAAAGAATTCCACTTGTAGCTTTATTATTGAACAGTAAATTTTCCAGCGTGGAAAGGCTCTTGAATGGACAATTTATTCCAAGGTATATAAATATAAAGCAAAAACTATGTCAGTTCCAGCTAGAATTCGGCCATACTCCAGTAGCACTAGTAATAACGTTGACATGTGCGATGTGAAAAAAAGAAAGAAAAGTTGTACTTCACTGTTTGACTGGTCACGTCACTACCCTCCCCCCCCCTCCAGAAAAAAATAAACTGCAGGCAGCGGGAAGAAATAAATCGTGTGAAAACTCGCCCGGTAGCCTTATGCATAGACAGGTTATAAAATGATACCGTAAAATATTGAAGAAAAAAAAAACGTGCCAACATGAAGCGAGACGACCGGTAAATAACACTACCAAAGGGCACAAAAACAACCTGTGTAGTTATGACGAACACAGTATATCCTAATGAATAATACAGTTTTATACGAAAAAAATTTTCCATTTCGTACACGTTGGTAACACAGAAATTTTGTGCTGGTGACACGCAGCTATTCTCTGTCTCGAGTGAAGCGACTGTCTGGATTAGGCTATATTAGGCAGGATTAGAGCTCCGCCAGTGCGTATTTTTATAACGGTCTCGGTAAAATGCCCATAAATTTTACCGAAATAGGACAAGTCGTTTCCTTCACAAAAGCACACATACATACCCTCACCTTGTATTAAACGGTCATGAAATAGAACAAAAAAGAGAAAGGTAGTCCCTCCTTCGCGATTCTAAGAACGCTTCGGTTATCGCGAGACGAAGCTTGGTTAGGGAGAAAATTCGGGTGGTGACCTCATCTTGAAATTTTCTCACGAAACGTTGTGACGTCATAAATTTTGACTACTGCTAAATTTTACATTGTTTCTAACTAGCAAAAATAAAGTACATTGTTCACTCAGGGGCCACACACTTAACATACCAAGTTTCAGTAAAACATTTTGAGCTAGTATAACCAATATAAGCGTATACATACATACGAATGGGCGCGGTCAAATTAACGACGTTAGAGTTCTCACAGTGCAATGTGTCGTCATAAACCTAGTCATTCTTAGATTTTAGTATCCACTTAAACAGGATTAGGCGGAGTTATCAATGTACTAAGCTTCAAAAAAATGCACAATAAAAATGAGGTCTCACCGAGATTTGAACTCGGATCGCTGGATTCAAAGTCCAGAGTGCTAACCATTACACCATGAGACCGAAACCACTTCCGACGCCGGGAATCGAACCCGGGCCTTCTGGGTGAAAGCCAGATATCCTAGCCACTAGACCACGCCGGAACGACGAGCGCCTGCACTACAAGCAAGCAGTGATGTATACCTCGCCGTAATCGCTAGCGTCACGCGTACCGACTTCCTTGACGTAACCGGAGCGTACTTTCGTGCGCGTCTTTTTCCGGCTGTTGCGACTGCACGAAGTTCTGCCGGATGGGCGCCACGTTTACACGCGTCACCGTCGTGGCATTTGCAGAATACTGCGCATCGACACGATCGAACCTTGCGCGCTGTCAGTAAATAGGTGCTGTAAGGTATATGTGCCTTTAGGTGCCAAAATTCTCGAGTCCTTGCCCTATATCGGGAAAATGGTTGAAGCAAAGCCGGATTGGCGTGAGCTTGCCTGACGTCTTTCCTTTCTTTCTTTCTTTCTTTCTTTTTTCTTTCTTTCTTTCTTTCTCTCTTTCTTTACCTCTTTCTTTACTTGTATCTTTCTTTTTTCCTCCTTCATTCTTTCCTTCCTTCCTTCCTTCCTTCCTTCCTTTCTTCCTTCTTTCTTTTTTTATTTCTTTCTCCCACCATTTTCTTCTTCTTTGTCTTCTTTTCCTTCTTCATTTTTTCCTTCCTTTCTTTCGTTATTTTTATCCTCTTTTATCTTTCTTTCTTTTGCTCTTTTTTCCCCAATTCGCAATGCTCCTTCTTCTGTTACCTTACTCCATGACGGTGATTGCATACCTCCATCCACGTGTTTGGCAGCACAACACTTCGGTTGCTACGGGTAACGACGGTCATGCGTTCGCATCCAGACAGGAATGAAATGGGGCAGCGTGAAATCACAAGTCACCTCCATAAATTAAAGAAGTACAATGGAAGAAAATTTGTTTGCTGTATTGGAAACGGTTGATAGCCGTCCAGCCTACGATCGAGAGAGTGTCAGTGGTTCGAAGATGGCTCATTTAGTAATGTGCAACCGACAAGAGCACCTTCGAGTACCGCAGCTTGTCTGCTTCAACGCCCCGCTCGGGCGTCTGTGACGCGGTTGCGCTTCTCTATTAATAGCAGCTTGGAGACCACAGTGACGATTGAATTGGTATTCATTTCATTGCGGAAAGCAACACCAGCGATTGCGCAACAAATAATTAAACTTTGTTTTAGCGCAAGCTATAAATGAACGCAAAGAACAAGACAGGCAGGAACAGGCGCTTGTTCTTTTGGGTTTGTTCAGTTTGCGCTCAATCAACGAACAGTGACAGAGTAAGTCCAACGAGTTCAGCACAATAAATACACGTGCGGTGCACCATCCTATTGCAATCCTTGCGACGAATTAGGTCTTGAGCAGCACGTAATCATGAAAAATTCGATGCATTCATCAACGCCTCATCATAACTCCCCATTAAATGGCCAATTCGAGCACTCAGCTTCGGTGGCTAGCGTTGGTATCGTATCTTCTAACAATCCGTTTAATTTTCTGTCACACACATCATTGTGGTCTAGTGGCTACATGACCGCCGTATACCGCGCTGTAGAAAACACGCTCGATAAGTAGACAAGGAGAAGCGCAGACTATCAACTGAAGTCCGCGCTTGTCCTTGTCAGTTTTTCATCTACCGCGCAGTATCTATCGATCATGAATCACCAATTGACTCAATTGTCGACTTTCACAAGTAGTTATGGTGTGTGAGTGCTGACCCGGAGGTCACGAGATCAAATCCCGGCAGTGGTGGCCGCATCTCATTGGAGGCAAAAGCTTGGAGGCCCATGCGCTTAGGTACAGGTTAACGTTCGAGAACCCCAGATCGAAAGTTTAGGTACCCTCCACTGCCCCGCCTTGGTGGTCTAGTGGCTAAGGTACTCGGCTGCTGACCCGTAGGTCACGGGATCGAATCCCGGCTGCGGCTTCTGCATTTCCGATGGAGGCGGAAATGTATGCCCGTGTGCGCAGATTTGGGTGGACGTTAAAGAACCCCAGGTGGTCGAAATTTCCGGAGCCCTCCACTACGACGTCTCTTATAATCATATGGTGGTTTCGGGACGTTAAACCCAACATATCAATCAATCAATCAATCAATCAATCAATCAATCAATCAATCAATCAATCAATCAATCAATCAATCAATCAATCAATCAATCGGTACCCTCCACTACGGCGTCTCTCACGTTACCGCGGTTTTTTAATGTAAAACTCACAGCAATTACGATTACTTCCTGTTAAAGCTTGGTGGCTTGGCTTGACCACTGCACAACCGGCCAACGTCACCGTTATTCATTAGGATCAACCTCGTGAATGCAGCGGACGCAAGATAACAAAACAAAGTGACGTGTTACGTCGCAAAACACGAGGGGAGGCGGTGGAGGGGCTCGACACAGTTCAGTATATTTACTAACGTTCTAAGCCTTTCTTATCGAACTCTGTGTGATCACAGTGCTACATTGTTGCTAGCAATCTAATCACGCGTCGAGCCAAGCAGTTGATACAAGTGGTAATAGTGATACGGTGACCCATATTTGCAGGGTCGCAGCCAATGACGACGACGAATAAAAAAAGAGAGAAAAAAATTCATCCACATCGAGCTGAATTATGTCGCTATAGCGGAATCATAAAACCGGAAGTCTTTTCAGCTGGAAATATTGGCGGTACAATAATCTAGCTGGCAATGTAATTTTTTTTTCGCTTCATTGAACGTAGGGCCGAGTCATACCTGCGTAGCGCTGTCGAAGTTCCCGGTGCTAACGCTTTTCGCATTATGAGAGATAGAAGAAGCTGCGATCAGTTCTCTGCTGAGTTCTCTTTCCTTCATTTTCTTTTCTTTTTTTCTTTCCTACGTTATCTCTTTACTCGCTTTCTTTTCAGTTTATCTTGATTACTGCTCTCGCATCCAACACTCAAAGAAAAGATCGAGTACCCCAGGTGGTCAAAATTTCCGGAGCCCTCCACTACGGCGTCTCTCATAATCATATGGTGGTTTTGGGACGTTAAACCCCACAAATCAATCAATCGAAAAGATCGAGTAAGAAGGGCGCCTTTATGTCCCACAACAATAACCGTCATACATATTGCATTCATTTCGTTTTTTCATCACCGCGCGCCCGGCATTTCCAGGTCACGAACGACATGTGCGTTATCAGTGCGTCATAGCATTCTCGTGATAAGAAAGTGGCGAGCCAGAGAACACCTACCCCTTGGGCCAGCGCCAAGTTTCTTCAAAGGAAGCGCAAGTAAGCTCGACGATTGTTGTTGTGGGACAAAAAGACACCTTTCTTTTTAGCATGATTATTTATTTATTTATTTATTTATTTATTTATTTATTATATCTAATTGAGTACGCACGCATTAAAAGAATGCAGCTAACGCTCTGTCCTCGACTGTCAACGAGAAATCGGGCTGCCCTCGCGTGAAACCTTCCCGCAGCTGCAGCAGCGCCTTTCCTCCTTTCCCACGACTGACGCAGTTCCACCAGCTGGAAAGGACTTTTCGAGTGCGGGCGCTCGGATACATATGTTGCGTGACGTCAGGCTCCCTACGTACGCACGCGTTTTGCTAGGTCGTAAATTCTGTCGAGATAGCGTAGGCAATACGCGCTCCCCCACTCGTCGTTCCGGCGTGGTCTAGTGGCTAGGATATCTGGCTTTCACCCAGAAGGCCCGGGTTCGATTCCCGGCGTCGGAAGTGGTTTCGGTCTCATGGTGTAATGGTTAGCACTCTGGACTTTGAATCCAGCGATCCGAGTTCAAATCTCGGTGAGACCTCGAAAATTTTTATTTCATAACTTTATAACCTTAGTTGAGAGGCAATTCGGATAATTGATTATAACACCAGTTAAGCGTACACGAATTTTTTTCGCTGTGTGTTTTTACTTTCACGATAGCAATTACACCCCCCCCTCTTTTTTTTTTTACTTTATTACATCTCTAAATGCGAGTGGCTACGCCACCTTCCAAATCCAGCACCAAACGTCGTGACGTCAGCTACTAAGTACTATGTAGTTTCCAACTAGTAAAAAATGCAGTACATTACCCCCTGAGGGACCATAAGCTTAACATGCCAAGTTTCAGAAAATTTTGTTGAGTCAATGTAGCCAAAATACGTGAAATACGCGTTGAAGTCCGCAACTTCATATGAGGCTATTTAGGCGCGAAACTTAAAAAATGATGCTCTCACCTTAATTTTATCCTCCACTAACAAACCATCTATGATGTTGAAAATCACGACGTTTGAGTTCTCACAGTACAAGTTATAAAACTAAACCGATTCGTTATTTTCCTTTAGTATACCTTTAACCAGTTTTATACGTGTTTGTCTTAAAATCGAACTTCAGACAATTTAAAGAAGAAAAAAAAAAAGTCTGAGATCTCACCGAGATTTGAACTCGGATCGCTGGATTCAAAGTCCAGAGTGCTAACCATTACACCATGAGACCGAAACACTTCCGACGCCGGGAATCGAACCCGGGCCTTCTGGGTGAAAGCCAGATATCCTAGCCACTAGACCACGCCGGAACGACGAGTGGGAGAGCGCGTATTGGCTACGCTACCTCGACAGAATTTACGACCTAGCAAAACGCGTGCGTATATACGTAGTGAGCCTGACGTCACGCAACATATGTCTGGGCCTCTGCTCATTAACTGGACTAATTGATGGCGTCATTGAAGCTAGCGTAAAACAAATTACTGAAACTGAATGCATTCGCTCTATAGTTTCACTTCAGCGGCTTCGTCGGAAATCATACACCATGCTCTATTTTTTTTTCAATGAGGCAATTACTATCTTCAACGTTGGCGAAGCGATATATCAAGTGAACTAGTAGGGCCATTCAATACTATTCAATTAAACGAAAATTAATTTTTATACTTCCAAGCTTCTTTTTTTTTTCTTATCAACGCACCATTATCAGCAGCAGCTATCTTTTTACAATTTACCATGAGCATCATCCTGGAATATGTACGTTGCAAGACGGAAGTTATCAGCCAGCGACGTCACAAGTACTGCTGTCTAGAGCAAACTGCAGAGCCTTGTCAGAAATTTTTACCAGGTAGGGTAAGGTGGGGTTGAATTTTTGTTGTCTGACACCCCTCCCTCTCGTCTATCTGGCTATACGCCAACGGCTACCTTATTCTATCCTGTACAGTAGGCCAAAACTTTAGCTAGTGCGCGCAGCGGCCACTTTTTTGTTTGTCATCGCCGTATTATGTAACGAAGTTACACAAAACTGCTTCGTGGATATGTGCTTTATGGGCATACGCTTGTCCTTAATTCAACTGAAATTTAATTCAGTCGTATGGCAAACATACACAGAAAATACTGCCACTCATGCACGATAGCTAAAGATTTAACCGACTGCCCCTCCCATTTCATCACACCTCCATAACTCTCTTCCCATCCCTGAACACGTATTTATTGTGAGACCATAATAGACCACCGCTTTTCTGCACTGCGCATTGGTGGCATTAAAAGCTCTATATGTTATCTATATGCTCAGGCAAAAAAAAAAAAGCAATTGCTACTTTATAAAAAAATCTGCCCTTTGAAATCACTAAAGGCGAAAGTCTTTCGCGATAAGATAAATGGTGAGCGAGAAAAAGCGCGAAAGAAAAAAAAAGGGGGCGGGGGGGGGGGCATGCAGTGGCGAGTTCACCTTGAGGTTTCCGCCAAGCCATCATCGTCTTCTGCGTCGTACGTATATTTTTTTAACCGGTGAAAGTGAATTACGTCGCGTTTTAAGGAATACAGATATACAACATGTCAATATTCAGATTTTACCAAGGCATTGAGGCTGAAATAATAATGAAAAAAAAAAATACTTGTAATGCATGACGTCACAGTGACATTCCGGTGCTGCGATTTCGGCGTGAAGTTTGTAAACCACACTTTGGCCCTTCTCTCTTCCAATAATATACCTATGTTTACGAAATCAACGAGAAATGACTTTTTAAAGAAATTTATTGCTGTAAATCAGTACTTCACTTCAGTGTGTACAATATTGGCTACCGATGTGTACACAAGCTGCTAGTCTTTCTTTTAAGTGCTACGCCCAGCACTTTTTGCCCCACCATTTTTTCGTAAACCTCGCGTTATCGTTGAGTCATACGGCTCGTTATACGAACGTCTCGTTGTGCATTTCGTGTTTTCATCTACGTATATATAGACTGTTTCGTGAATGGGTTTCAGTGGCGCCATACTTGAAGTTGACATTTGTGTTTTGCGCATTTAAAGACTAAACGAACAATGAGACGCATTCGCATGGAAATGGTTGGGTTGGTGCATAGGACGTTTCACGGCCTTGTTATACTAAACAATGCGATATACAAAAAAAAACAAGAAAACATTAGCTTAACAGCTCGAAATGGCGGCGACCTGGTGTCTTACAGAAAATAGTCTCCCTTTTCGTTCGCAGGCGGCTGCTTCTTCGCGCAAAAGATTCGCATGACGAACGCGGTCACCATGCTGGACCCGTTCCAGGAGCAGTACGGCCGCTGGATGGGGCTCCTCCTCTGCCTGCCCGCCGTGTGCGGCGAGATATTCTGGACGGCCGCCATGTTGTCCGCACTGGGTGAGAGCTCGGTCATGTTAGAATGTTTTAGGTGGTCTCTCCATATCGTCAGCACCGATTTTCATTGAGGAGCTTGAGCTACTGTATCTATTTGAAATTACGCCGAAAATAACGTGGAAAAAATGAAATTCAGGAAAGAAGACAAGAATAGTGAGTGCGCGGAAGTTCCGTACCCTTAATGGTCGGCATGCCGCTCTTTATTAGTCACTAAAATCATTAAGTCCTGTACTCGCACGCGTGGTGCCACTCGTGCAGCTTGGCCGTTTTCAAATTGACGGTACATTTAACATGAAACCGTTGGCGTGCACGTGAAAAAGGGTACGCCAGCCTTCTCTCGTGGTTGTGTAAGAGAAGAGGGGTGAGGGAATGCAAAGTGTTCCCTATACCTTTACTCAAGTGTCACCACGTAGGTTTCTGACAATAATGGCAGCCGAAGGCCCGTGACGTTGCACTCAAAGAACTGTTTACTGGAGTAAATATGGTACATGTTTACTTCAGCGAAACCAGGGACAAAAATCATCGCTTCATTTGCGTTCTAGATGCAAACCTTCTTATGTTCGAGCTCGATTCGATGTGCGGAGTGACCATCGACTGCGCATGCGCGCTCCTCCCTCTCTCTCCTCTAAGCATCCCTTCCATGCGGCGCTAACATCCCCATTAAACACCCTCCTCCTTTTTTCTCTTCTCCTACACTCCCCCCTTTGGGCTCGCAACGACGACGCAGGCAGCGTCTGCTATAGCGAGAGAGAAAAACGTCTTTATTCACAAAAGCATGGAGAAGGAGGGAGTTGGCTTCTCGCTAGCAGAACTCCATGGTGGCTACTTTTCGTTCGCCAAATTGGCAAATTTGAGAGGCCCGTGCCGACATGGCGCATTTCTGGCGATTTTCAGCTTAGGCCTCGACTGAGTTGTGCATTCTATACTCATTGTCTTCACAACGAATGGGCAAGATTTTTTTTTCTATTTTTCCTAGTTTTACACCCACCAGTAGAAGGCGCACTTCACACGCAATTTAGTGCGTGTGTCCTCTTTCTCGTGTATATCCCTTAATTAACCTTTTTATCCTGGAGTCACTGATGCACTGGTGCGTCCACCAGCAGCCTCCCAGCAATTCAGGTCAGTGGACTGCTTTGCGTGCTGCGAGGCGGTCGTGCTATGCTACCTTTTTAGGTGTTTTTTAAGACCTTTGAGCGTCTTCAAAGTTTCGATTCTGAAGTGGCTAGGTAATGGTTAGGCCGCATGTTCCGACTGCATCTTCGACTGCAGTGAATATATCTTGTCGACTGCTTCCCTGCTGCGGCACCCTCTAATTGTATGACGAGTTTAAATTTGTTATTACCATACTTTTTGGGCACGCCTGCCGAAAAAGTCTGGCTTCTATGGACAGCCTTCTGAAACTACAGTGAGGTGAATGTATATCGTAAGCATGGCCACACAGAAATGGTGCTGCGGGCATTGCGATGGTTACGCATTACTTTCGAATTTATTTCCGTGCTTTATAATTAAATTATTCGATTATTTGACTAACGATACCACTGCAGCGAAACTCTCTGAACCTGCAGGAAGGCTGCGCACGGTGTGCCTCTCTTGTAGCGACATCTTGTATCCGCTACAACTGAAACGATCGCAAACATTTGTCGTGAGGTGATGGCATCCAGGGAGGCTGCCCTTGCACGCCCTTTCACAGTGTTCCCATGGTGAAGCGGGTGATGTGACTGCCATTGAAGAACGTCCCCAAAAAAACTTAGTTTATGAATGATACCGTGCTCCACGGGGCTATACAGAATTTGCAATTTTTATCATTAGGCACACTACACATGTGTATTGGCAACCTTTTTTTTTTTTTGGCGACATGCATCTGTAGAAAAATGGCGACTTTTGACGATATTTTGTTCGTCGCTTGGCGAATTTCACTCGAAAATCAATGGCAACCCTGGTTTTCCAGGAGACACGGCGGGAGCGATGATGGATGTGGACTCGAAGCTCTTCATCGTCATCGCCGCCACGACCATATTCTTCTACACGGCTCTCGGAGGCCAGTACTCGGTCGCCTACACTGACGTCTTCCAGTTATGCATCACGATCGTATTCATGGTGAGGATACGGCTGTTCTTTAATGCGTTAGCGTTATATAACCATTTTTTTATTTATTTAATTTATCTCACAATGAGACCATTGCAGAGAGGACATATATATATATATGGTCCACCAGCCGAAACTGTTAGGATTAAATAAATATTTTATTGTTTTGTTTCCTATACTGCACTATTCTCGAAGTTTATAACTTTTATTACGGTAGCCGGAAGAAACTCTGATCATCTATTTCATCCATATATATATATATATATATATATATATATATATATATATATATATATTATATATATATATATATATATATATATATATATATATATATCAGAAAAGAAGCACCATGCAATCGTTTAGTAGCATTGAAAACAATAGGCAATCAATACATCATCAGTATAGTAACAATGCGAACGGTGAGACTACAAGTCATGGCAAAAAAGGAGTGCTAGCTACAGCAATTACGATGGCATGGCACGCATGACGCCTATAGGTTATATTAAATACAAACTCCGGATACGCGTCACAAAGAGACGACAACAACAAAAAACACTAATACTCACAGAAATTGCTCAGCATGTACGTATACTGTCAATTTTCATGAAAAGCGACACGCCAGTGCGTGGCCGGCGCTCTGCGGAGGCTGCATACAGCCCCACCAACCGGCAGCTGCAGAAATTGCGTCTCCCTTTGCACGGCCCGTTATCAGAACAGAGCGGCAATGTAATCTAGCAGCGCTTGTACAACAGCCATGGCTCGTTATTTTGTTTTGCATATAGACAACGCCACAATCTGACGTGCTTTCTTTGGCTATTGGTTGGTGGTGCTAACACGTAGGCAGCAGCCGCAGAGCGCATGCCATGCGTGTGTTCTTTTTCATGAAAATTCACAGTGTAAATCAACTTCTACCACTTTTTCTGAGAGCATATTTAAAGATTAATCGTTAGTAATGGGACTCGCATCCAATCTCTTATGGTTTGCGGGAAATATGAATATTTAACGCAATTTGACGCGGCGTAACATGCTTGCACAGTGTTGTATGCTTCATAGGATGCATGTAACGCTGCGGAAGCTTCTACACGCAGTGAGTTTGGTAAACAATAGTCACATGGTCCCTCTTTAAGTTCGCTAAGATGGCGAAATAGACCTTCTTTTTCTTCTCCGTTGATTGAGTTGATCCCGCACTGTAAGGCTTTCCTCAACCAACGTGGTTGGGCATTGCTTCCGGCATCAGAGGAATTCGAAACTCAGGATGGTCTTGCAGTGCCTACGTGATCGGCGCAGCGTTTGACCGAGCGACGATGCCGTGCGACGACGTCATCGTGACGTCACGATGACTTCACAAGTGCCGGCAACATGTCGTGTCATGATGACATCACAAGATTACGTCGTCGCACGTGACGATTTTCTTCATCGCTCATGTTGCGTTAGTTTGTCTGAAGCCTACGTGACTCGTAATATTGGCGAAAGGCAAAGTGTTCTAACAAGTGAGGGGTTGTTGCTGACAATCAAGGTAATTAAATTCAGAAATATGTTTTCAGTGAAATAAATTGGAGTTCAACAAATAGCCTTGCTGATGCCAACTGCTTCTGCCTATAACATAAGCGTGTGAACGGGAGGGGAGCATAGGGGTGGCCGGGCGCCCTCTAGTCACCTAAGTGGGGGAAAAGAGGGCGCTGTCTGCCCCATACATTGACTTAATATGGAAGGGGATGCTGCAAAGACCCCCCCCCCCCGCCCCCGCCCCCCCCCAAAAAAAAAGAAACCCTACTCACGTCTATGGGACTTAATGTTGGCCGTCGACGTCAAGAAGGTAACTGGAGGTTACCAAACAGTCCCAGTCCGAGTCCTTTGGAGGACTCTGGTAATGCTGACACATCTTTAGCACAAGTCATCGCAAATTTTGCTTTCTTGGTTGGCTGTTTCTGCAAAATGCGTAGTTGGACATCTCGAAGTTCAACCATTTGGCTAATCAGTGCGAAGGCGTTGAGAAAGCACATTGGAAATCATGAAGAAGCCGTCAGAAGCTGTATACAAGATTTCACGTTTGTTATATTTGCTAGAAACAATAAACATTATGTTGACGCTAAATAGTCATGCCTATTTATTAACTAGTGCATAAACATATCATCCCTATCTTCGAAGCGTCGTACGCGTGCGTATGTAAACGTGTATCTTGTTTTTCTTGCTTATGTATTGTTTTGTTCCGGTAGCTTGTGTTTTTCTTCCTGCATTAAGTTCGTAAAATAATTGTCACAAAATGTTTGTACTCATTCCTGCCTCTACGTCACATCTTCTCTGAGCTCTGCTAGGGGTATTTTTCAGAAACTCAGAGTCCCTTACGCATTCGGCAGAGGCGATCTCGAAGGCGACAGCCAACCTTTCTTTAATGAGGCATCTGAGCCTTTCGCCTGCAAAAATAATAGACGTTCTTGCGATTGCTATCTCGATTTAACGTTACTGAAACGTCTCGCGTGCAGTGGATTTGCGTACCGTACGTCATGAAAGGCCGCGCTGTGGGAACCGTGAGAGGTCCCGAGACCGACTGGATCGGCAAGGTCTCGCTCTCAAAAGCGGGCCAGCTGCTCGACGACTTTCTCATGACCGCCCTCGGAGGCATACCGTGGCAGGTGGGTACTACATACGAAGGCACGCCAAATTTGACAAGGTGCTATTGATTGATTGATTGATTGATTGATTGGTTGATTGATATGTGAGGTTTAACCTCCCAAAACCACCATATGATTATAGACGCCTTAGTGGACCTGTGGTTCTTTAACGTGTACCCAATACTGAGCACACGGGCCTACAACATTCCCGCCTCCATCGGAAATGTGTGGGCGCACGTTAAAGAACCCCAGGTGGTCGAAATTTCCGGAGCCCTCCACTGCGGCGTCTCTCATAATCATATGGTGGTTTCGGGACGTTAAACCACCCAAATCAATCAAATCCATCGGAAATGCAGCCGCCACAGCCGGGATTCGATCCCGCGACCTACGGGTCAGCAGCCGAGTACCTTAGCCACTAGACCACCGCGGTGGGGCTGATTGATTGATTGATTGATTGATATGTGGTGTTGAATGTCCCAAAACCACAGCAAACCCACCACCGTAGTGGAGGGCTCCGGAAATTTCGACCACCTATAGGGTTCTTTAACGTGCGCCCAAATCTTGACAATGCGCTGTAATTAAGGGTTACATATTGTACAGACTTAATTATGATATCTTGTCGTATGGTCAGGAACGCAGAAGAGCCGACTGTACAAGCACGATCGTGTATAGTCACGGCACTGATTCAACCAGTCAAGTTCGGTTTGTATTATCTTAATGTGACTCTAAAGGCAAAGAACGTTTTATGTCAGCCTTCAAAGGCCAATGTTTGAGATCGTGGAAAACGTTAATTTTATAAACAATAATGCTCAGCAGATAAAAAAAATGCCCCCCGTAGAAAACACTAGCCGCGGTGGTTTATGGTTATGTATTCTGAACTGCTTAACCGAAGGTAGCGGGGTCGTATCGCGGCCGAGTTTCGATGAAGGCGAAGTGCTACACACCCGTGTACTTATAGATTTAAAAGGACGTTAAAAAAAAAACGACGTGGTCCATATTTCCAGTGTCCTATATTACGCAACATTCCTTATAATCATATCGGGGCTTCTGGACGTAACACCTGAAGTTAATTTCCCGACAGAGGCGTTACATGGTGGGCGGATTTAAAATATAACGCGTGATTTATTTTATACCCAAGCTAATATAAAAGGGATTATTTACGTGATGCTCAAGCAAAGACATGCGTGTAATGGCGGCAATGTATGCCGGTTTAACAGAGTCACCTTTTTAAGCGAACCATCCTACAGACACATCCTACAACCCCACATATCAATCAACCGTTTTTAGCATATATATCAAATAGCAGTTTCAGGGTGCTTTGTGTTGCTCCATTGCAGGTATATTTCCAGTGCGTACTGGGTTCCAACAGCGACTTCGCCGCTGAGATGCTGTCTTACGTGGCTGCTTTAGGCTGCGTCTTTATGGCCGTTCCACCGATGGTCATCGGAGCAACGGCTAAGACCACTAGTACGTATCGATGAGAATCGATCGGACCATTTGTGGGCGTTTCCCGCATTCTATACGTTTAACAAGCTTGCGCGAGTTGGTTATCATTAATGTTGCTGACGCGTAAGGTTGTACTGAGCAGTTCACTGTTAAAGGGAACACCGGATCACGTGGCGTCTACACAGCGCCATCTAGCGGCTGCGACGTGTTTCACGCAGGCGCAGTGAGCGTTGTTGGTGGTGCTCTCTCGTCGTCCGCTAGTCTTGGCTGTAGCGCTTCGAATCGTCTCAGAGCAAGCCGTTCATGCGACAAAAAGATTTCGTGACACATCCACTCGTTTTTCCGCGCAATTGTCCGCACGGACTGTACTGTACGTCTACAGAGTAACATATTCATGAGAACGTAACGAGTTGAACGAATTCCAGAGTTGAATACACTATTGCCACACACGCTTGTTTCTTTCTATTTTTATGTTACCGCCCCATACAGATGTAACTGATGTCATACGCAAAGAGCACTCGCATGACTGGCAACCATATAGATATCGCTTAAAACAGGTGACACATTGAATCCAATGCAAACGCCTGTTTGCTGACGGAAATTTTTATCTTGCCAACCAATTATGGTAGATAAAATTTTCCGTCAGAAAACAGGCGTTTGCATGTGATCCAAAGTTGCACCCATGTTAAGCGATAGCTATTTGAGCCGCGTTAACAGGAAGCTTAGGAGCCACCTTGGTGAACGTATCCGCTATGTTTGTAGGTATATATGTTGATGATTACCTGGTGATTTTTGATAGCGACCACAATCAAAGCCAGCTGAGCGACAGGATTATAAGATGTTTTCAGGATAGTGGTTTTGGTATTCGGTTCACCTCCGAATTAATGGAGCAGCAGCTGCTGCACTTTCTTGATTTACGCCTGCTGTTCACTCTACATCATGTACGATGGAAATACCAACCCAGATAAAAAAAAAACAGCTGTTACATGCTAACTCAGCGCACTCAAAACTCATATAAAATGGGAACATTTTTTCTACTTTGTGCTCTTAATTCACAAAGTCATGCCAACATCATTTATTTATCATATACTGTGAACCATTTAAGGTCCAAGCAGGAAAGGTACAGCAAGTTCAAAGGTAAAATAAAAGTACAACAAAGTTACAACAAAATTGATACTGGTATACACAAAATGTAAGAAAAACATAGCAATCACCATCAAATTATACTCGTTTCCAGAGGGCTGAGTACATCCACTGCAACATAATCCATAAGCAAAGCACCACACTCTCAGGCACACAACAAATTGTTAAATCAAACAAGTATTGTGAAAGCCAGGAAACACAAGGTGCATTTCATGGTGAAAAGGAAGGAAGAGTAGAGTTTCGGGGCAACAAATTCCACTCAGAGATTGATTTCGGGAAAAAAGAGTGTTTGTATAAATTAGTTCTTGCGAAAATTGGCTTGATGCTACAGCTGTGTTTGTGACGGGAAGGCCTGGAAGAATCCTTTACCATGTAGTTTTCTGGCTTTATTTCGAGTTTAGAAAAATATATTAGACGGAGTAAGTTAAGTCGAGCAGCTCGTCGTCTGTCCTCAAGAGGTTCAAGATTTGCCAACTGCAACATCGCAGAGGGGGAATCGCGGCGTCTATACCTACTGTAAATAAAACGGTTCTATGACATCAGGTTCTAGAAAGCTTCAACAGCCAGCTTCTTAGGCTGAAGACGGCCGCTTATGCCAACGCTGCGATCACGACTGCATGCAATTAGCTCATATAAAGTGGTGTGGTGTACACGTATCCCGAAGGAGTACGGCCACCAGCGTGGGTCCGGTCTTAGCGAGCCGCAGGGCACGCGTTAACCGTCGCCGTGGCGGGAAACACGATACTACTCAAGTCGCAACACTTTATTGTGGCAACACCAAACGCAGTACAGCCCGTTGCAAAAAAAGGCGCGGCGGGAAAGCAAGTAGGCTTATCCACGCCACGGGCACAAAGTACTACACAGGGTGCCACGAGCACGTCTCCGCGGTAAAGGTGATCCACGGAGACACCGGGACAAAGGGCCCGGTTGCTCGAGCGAGGGCAAAGGCGCTCGCGTTGGCTTCGAAGGGAGACGGGTCGGCGTAGCTAGGCCACGCACTAGGACACCGTACTGCCCTTCGGCCGTGAGTACGCAGCGGGGCAACAAAAAGGTGAGCGTTCGCATCGGGCGCGAGGCGCCGTCAGCGAAGTCCGACGAGCCCCGAGCGACGGGACTCGACGGACGGAAAAGAATGCGTGGCTCACAGTTTGAAGTCCCGGACTGTACTCACCGCTCCCGACGCAGCGCGCGAAAACCCCTCGGGAGGCTCCCCGCGCGGCGCCACAGTCAACATCCGCTACCGGGTGAGGGAGTTAAACGTCACTCCGCCCTTCCCAGCGCGGCAGACAGCAAAGGAGGGCAGACATGTCGGGACATGAGAATGGCAGAAAAGGCGGCAAAGCCCGCGCAAAGGCAGCGGGCCAGCCTCAATTCCCACAGTGGGTTAATGCCAAAAACGCGGGATCCTGTAATGAGCGCATAACTAGCGCCAGCAATTTTATTGTTGTACCTGCATCGCTTTCCCCATGGTCTCAAGATTGTTTCTAATCGGTACAAGGTTGATTTGGTTGTTTCCGCCCCCCCCCCCCCCAGAAGATTGGAAGGAATTACCCACTTATCATAAACAAAAGCACGTTCATCAGTAAATGTTGGATGCACAACTAACCATGTCGACAACTTCATAACTTTCATGATAGGTATTGTGAATATGATACCTTTTGTCATGCGGTAAAGTTTACGTGGGTCAAAGTGGAAGGTGCATCAATATAAGACTGAGAGAACACCTACGCTCGCTCTCCTCTGCTAATCCTACTAGTTATCATCTAGCCAACCATAGCCACTCGTGTGGACGTAATCCACATTTCAATGACACCGTCATTCTGTAACGCCATTATGATAAAAAGACAAGAGAAACAATGCAAGCTACGCTAGTGCACAAAACCGAAATCCGTTCAGCCTTTTAGGATGCCGTTAGATGTTGACTTCCATAGTAGAGTACTAAGCACTCTAAATCGTTAACCACTTTTCCTAAACACACAGCTTTTCACATCAACCAATTAAAAAAGAAGTGCATTAGTCAAGGGTCTATAGACTTTTAATCTAAAGAGTTAGATTATCTCCGGCAAACGCGCATAGCACAGTGCCACTTCGTATTGCTTCTATCTGCTGTACACCTTTATGTTGCTCATGTTTTCCACGAGGCTGTTTTCGAGCTGATATTGTCCCGACTTTCGATGACAATGACTTGGATGTTGCTGGGTATATAGGTGGCGTTTTTCCAATAAATTTTTGTTGTGAGTGCAGCGCTTGCCCCGTCTTTTCTCGTTCGTAGTGGTAGTAATAGACTTTTATTCAGCCAAATTTACAGGCCGAGCATTTCGACCGCCTGTGCGATCAGTCGACTCTGTTCTTCTTCCCCTTCGGCGCCGATCCAGTCGAGCCAGAAGGTGATGGAAAGGGATGGGGGAGGGTAATAGCTGGATTGCTGAGCAGTTGGGCAGTAAAACAGGCAGGGTGACAGGTCAGCGTATGGGGAGGGACAATTAGGACAGTAGTGGTTAGACCTATATTTATAAAGGACAAGGTGAGACTATTCGTTCTAACGCTGCCCCATTCAATTCATTGTGAACCTTAAACCAACTAGCCCACCTTTCCGTTATTCTGCAACACCCACTGCGCATGCTCGGCTCGCCTCGTGCCTCGTCTCGTCTCCCTGGTACGCGGACGGTGTGTATTATATGCGGCAGAGCGCGCGTCCGGAATTCAGTCAAGGGTGTTTCGTCTATACGTCAAATACAACGACGGCACCTGTGTAATAAAGACACGTCTCCGCTTGCGTGTATACGTTATTGCAATAAAGTTCGCTGCTCGTATACGATGTTAACGTCAGGATAGTTCAGAATACGGATGCATGGCCACCGTGTACTGTTTCATCAAGTAAAAGTGCGGAAGAAGGTTGCGCCACTGTTGTGGCTGAAGAGAGACATTATCGTGAAGAGCATTAATCTCTACTGTGGTTTTAAACACTTAGTGCAGGTGGTACAATTAAGGCTGTGCTCTCCCATAGTAGAGTAGTGGTGCTTTCCTGATTGTACATGCACCCTTTGTAGTCGTGAAGCTCGATGTTTTTGTCATGTACTTTATCCTTGGTTGGAAGTCAATAAACTTCTCCTTGCTGCTCTCCCATAGTAGAATACCAAGTACTCTAAATCGTTAACTACTTTTTCTAACCAGGCCCACGGGACGGCTCTATGCTCTCCCATAGTGAAGCACCAAGTACTCAAAATTGTTAACCACTTTTTCTAAACACACAATCGAAACACGTTTGGTGGGAAGGCTTCATGTTCTCTCATAGTAGAGTATTAAGTACTCTAAATGGTTAACAGCTTTTCTCTAAACACGTGAAAACGAGAATGAGGCCCACGGGACGGCTTTGTGCTCATCTATATAGTATAGTGCCTATAGTACTGCAGATACCTAGTACAGCACATACGAGTGACCGATGACTTCGATCACACCTCTTATTGTAAGCGCTTTTGGCAGATCAGTGCAATAATGTAACTTGAGAGCAAAATCTTCCAAGCTGGATTTCTGCCGGGGGGGGGGGAAGGGGGGATCGCACACATCTCCGCGAAGTGATTTATGACGAGTGGGTGAAGCACGGGGGAGTTAAATCACCCGACCAGTCGCAAATGTAAATCAGTGACAACGCTTGTGTGCAATATATATACAATGTTTGATTGGTCATGTCATAACTCGTTTGTTCAGTTGAGTTGTGCATTTCGTTTTGGCGTCATTATTACTGCTTTGTGGTCCGTGAAATGTAGAGCCAATGTTTCTCCAATGGCATCTAGCCTGAAGCTGGCAAATACGAGGCCTTCGCACGTTTCCTTTACATTTAGGTATAGGTAGAGGGATGCGTCTTCCAGATACTTCAACCACGCCTGAATGTTTCCTTTTTTGACCATAGGTCGGAGTTGTATGAGGGCTTGCTTATCAGATTTCGCTTTTTGTGCACATCGGAGGTATACGTAGAGGGATGCATCTTCCAGATACCTCAACCCCGCCTGAGTGCTTCGTTTCTTGACTATAGGTCGGAGTTGTATGAGGGCTTGCTTATCATATTTCGCTCCTTGTGAACATCGATGGCTGCGTTGTTGGGTATGTTAATAGGAAGGCATTGATTGTACTGTTTTCTGAACGTCTTTTGGGACGTTGAACACTTGATATTTGATTCGGTACGGCCCGTTGCCAGGCATTAAAAGTCTGATGCCTGTGAACGTGAGCCGCGGAGCGATTCATCGCTGCTTCCCGAGCTCTCACCTCCGGGGTAGCTTGCTGTCTGCGTAGACGTTGAGCCACCGCATGGCGCGCTCTTGACTGCGAAGTAGCAGCTTGTTGTCGGCGTTGCCGCTTAGCCGCAAGCTCTCGCCTTCGAGGTAGCTAGTTGTCTGTGTGGTGCGTGGTTGTCTGTAATTGTCTGTGTGGCCGTAGTCCCATTCAAGCCCTTTAAAGGTTTTTAGACCATGACCCTCATCATCTCGATTGTTGAAATGAATAAAGTTTCCAAGTTTCAGTTACATTTCGCGGCCGAGAGTGCGTTCACGTTCGTTTTCAACCACGGCGAAAAAAAAAAGAGAAAATTTGTGGTCTGGAAAGCAGTTATTCTTCATCGTCATCAGCCACACAACACAAAGGGCACATAATGGCTTAAATATGTGTAGCGCGCTCATTACTAGAATGGCGAATGACACACCGGGTGCTTCCGAATACTTCAGCAAAGTTATGGTGGGCGTATAGTGGGTACCGTGTGGACTGTGCCATGACGGACATACAGTCGGCTATAGTGGGTATACCTTACATGAGCTGTGCCGGAAGCGGAATTGATGGAACACTTTTTGATTTGATGTGGATACACCTATACCCAGCTGTAAGTTTGGAGCCTACATGAAGCTTTGCGTTTGATGGACAATGAAAAGCCGAACACCTTCGTGATTTAAGTAAATAGGAGACAGAGTACTGGTGACAGAAAAGTGGAGAAAAAGGAAAAAAAATAATAAGTCTTCCGTACATGGCAAAGGGTGGGACCATAATTTTTTTATCTAAATAGATAATTCCAAACCAAATATATCAATTAATTCAAATAGATCCATTTACTCTTAGACAAGGCATTCAATCTTTTTTTTTTCTTTTTTTCGTCTAGCCCGTTGGCGCACATGTGATCCACTCCGTAATAAAGGGATGCTCATAGCATACTTCCCAAATGCTGGTACAAAAAAGTTAGCGACTCAGAGAAGGCCAAGCAGTGAATGTCTGAGGCGAAGCTATGTGGTAGAGTGGAGCAAGTGGTGCGGAGCATGAATGGCTGTGCTTGTGAAAGGAGTCGACCTATACATAGGTGGCGCTGGTGAGAGAGAGGGAAGTGGCGGTGAAAGCAGACGAAAGGTAAGGTGGTGATGTTGCCGGTTCCACTGAATAAACAACCTTCACAACGAAGGGTCGTATGACATGGTATCCCAAAAGTTTGTGTTTTTCAGCAAAACACTACAGGTAGAGGGTCTATTATGCCTATACAAGTCCGAAAAGTGAATCGTAAAAGAAAATATTGGGGGCAAAACAAGGCCGAGAAACCCCGCCCAGCGTCGGCGATTGCCATTTTGCTGGGAGCATGTGACGTGATGAGCTGGAAGGAGCAGAGCGATCGCTTTCCACCGAAATTTCAGCCCTTGCGAATCGTTCAATTTTCATATCAAGCTGAAGGAAGCTAAGGTATCTCGATTTGACGCGCAGCTTGCCATGGAACAATATCATTGAATGCAGGTGCGCACTCGCGATTGTGACATCACGACTCGCGAGTGCACCAGTGTAGCACTGAATTCTAAATTGAGTGCTTGACCAAATGCGCTGAAATTCAGCCAGATTTGATAATACGAAAATATTAACCAACATAACGCATCTTATGATAGAAAATTGGGTGTCATAGCCCCTATAAGTCAGCTGAGGCTAGGCATCATCGTTTTTTTTTCTTGACACGCTCTAATGTCTTACTAAGCCATGGATCCTGAAAAGTTTGGACTTGTTGACCAGCATACCTTGATTCAATTCTTTATTTGCAAACTGTGAAACATACAGAAACATCACGACTGGTTGGACCCATAGCCGAAGGCTAGTTGGGGGTCCAAAAAATAAATAACTAATGGTTACATGTACAAAAAAGATATATCACACGCATACAGATGGTTATCGTGCATCGTTAACTTGCACGAGTGAAACAAAGGGACAGCGAAAGTGTCGGTAAATGCACGATTGTTTTAACAGTTCTAACTTACGAAAATACAAATAAACAAAACAGATTGTTGCACTATTACGAAGGTTAAAATATGCAAGACATACCGAAAACAAGAACTTAATCATTGATGATGTCGATGGCGCAGATTTCACGGCTGCGGGCTACCCGGGCCCTTGGCAGCTCACCAATCGGGCTACCGTGTTGCCGCAGACCATACGCTTCGTGACGCCGGCCTTGATCTCCATCCTGGGCATGTTGGCGATCATCTCCGCGGTCATGTCATCCGCCGACTCGTCCATGTTCAGCGCTTCCACCATGCTCACCAAGAACGTCTACCACGAGCTGCTACGGCCGAACGTGCGTTCCTTCGTTACGAATTACGACTACACGCTCATATCTTCGAGTTTCACGCGACCATGTGCAATAAATAGACCAGTGACTCGGACCAGTTGTAGTCCTTGACGTTTTTTTTTTTTCCTGGGTCGATTTATTTCAGCCGTGGCACGGTGAAACAAAATGCTGAATTTCCGTGTCTAACAGTTTGTTTCGTATCTTTCCTTCGTAGAACCGATCGATCAGTCAGTTATTAAACAAATCAGGCTTATGTCGTCGATAGACAGCTACACTATAAAAAAGCGAGCAAAAAGGGTGTCTTTTTTTTGTCTAAGAACAATAATCGTCATCTATATTGCGTTCCATCCTTGCGCTATGGCCCCGCGCCCGGTACATTCCGGTCACGATCGACATGCCCATTATCAGGGTTACATTGCATTCTCGATAGGAAAGTGGCCAGCGCCGAGTTTTCAAGAAAGGAAGCCCATGCAAGCCTGATGACAATTATTGTTGTGGGACAAAAATACACCTTTTTTACTCGATATTTTTTTAGAGTGTACGATGTGTCCGAGCCAAAAGGCGAGCAGCCAGCCAATAACAACTGTGCATTTGTGTAAAACTTAAGCGATGTTATCCAAGACAGGGAGGGGGGGGGGGGGCAGTGTTGCGGTGAACATACACCTTGCAAACTGTAGGATTGAGCGTGTTGGTACACAACTAGAAAGAAAGTTGAAAGAAAGAAAGTTGAAATTTTATTTCACCACAACGATACACCGTGATTTACACAAACAAGAAACAATTGTGGCATGGAAAGTAGGAAAAAAGCTGCGCTATAGCAGCTTGACTAGCCCCACCTCCCATTTGTACAAGGCAACAGAAACAATGGCACACCAAGCTCCATACGGTGCTCACGTATGATTGAAAGAAAAAAGAAAAGAAAATAACATTCTAGTGGTTGTTTATGAAGTACAGAATAGATGCACACTTGGGTGTTTACAAACAAACAATTTTTGGGAAAAAAGGCAACCAATATAAGACGCTATAACAGAAAGGGGTACACTTAAAATTTCATGCATTTACAAGTACTGGGTGTAATTTTTCTGGGTTTATAGCTCCTTACACAAACAGGTTTAATATATCACTACTTGAAAGGAGACGCAATTGCTGTTCTGTGAGCTTGAACTTATTTAGTATATGGGGAACAGAGTGCTTTAGCATTTGGAGTCCGTAATTTGTTCGCGGTCGGGGATGTGCCAGTGTTCAGAACTGCGCATCGGACGCAACGAAATTTTCGGCTGTAAATGTGCTAAGCCTCTCAGGTTTGCGCAATTCTTTCGAATTTCAGACCTCAAAGACAACAACAAGTTATGTTCATATGCAACACAAAATTTTAAAACTTTAAACTTGACAAATAAATGGGATGTGTGTTCTCTGTAACCTATATTTGCAACAGCCCGCAAAGCGCTTTTTTGAAGTGTATACAACTTTTGTTTTGATGTTTCAGTTCCAGAAGCCCATACCAACTGACAATAGCGTAGATGAGAACAAAAAAGCGTATTAAAGATAAGAAGTTTCTGGGGGAGCGGTAGAAACGACTGACACCTTCTCAGCACGCCAAGGGCTTTTCTTAACTTAATACACAATTGTTCAGTGTGAGAATTCCAGAACATATGTTGATGAAAGATGACGCCCAAAGTTTTGACAGTCTCTGAAAGTTCGATATTGAAATTATTTAGCATCAGTTTTTGTGTGTACGTACATGTCATTCCTTTCGCACGGAAAAGAACGGCCTTGGTTTTAGAGCTGTTGATCTGTAACGAATTTTGGCAGGACCATTTCGAAAAATTGACTAACGTTTTATTAGCTGCTTTTATCAAATCGTCTATATTTGTTCCCGTAAAGAATAAACTTGTATCATCCGCATAAATAATGTACGTTATTGAGTGATCCACATTTACAACATGTGGATCACTCATTACTCGTGCATATCAGCGCAAATAACGAGACGGGGCAAATCAGGGGACACAGGGCGCTGACTTTTTGACTAGGTGTTAAAGCGAAAACTGGGCAGGGAGTGGCCACCCTGTCGCCACCCCTGCTAGTCCAAGCCCTCCTAACCTCTGTGCGACGTGTCTCCTCCACATGTGCTGCAGGCGTCCGAGGGGGAGGTGGCCATAACGCTGCGCGTCGTGGTGTGCCTGTTCGGCGCCGCAGCCACCTACCTGGCGCTGTCGGTGGAATCGGTGTTCGGGCTGTGGACGCTGTGTTCGGACGTGGTGTACGTGCTGCTCTTCCCACAGCTCGTGGGCGTCTTCTACATCAAGGACACCAACACCTACGGCTCCATCATAGGTGAGCAACATGCTGCGCGGCTTCCTCTGTGCATGGAAAGAATAACGCGTGTGCATGGCCTCCGAGAATAGGGGAGGACGTGCAATGTCTTTGGGAAGTTTAGGTCATGCGACTTGCTTTGTATGGCATAGCTGTGTGCATATAGGCGAAGGTGGTGCCCCCTAGTCGCGTGAAGAGGGTGCCAAGTCTTCCCTCGTGTTATTCAGTTGTGTACCTGACCCTACATTGCTTGAGGAGCAAGTCTGTAGCCATTCGTGCATTGAGCTTTTAACGACAACAGTTTGCGTGGACAATTGGTGCTGCACTTGAAAAGCTGCGAACCTTCCACCGTTCATCCTCAAACCCCATTCCTCTCCCAGGGAAAAAAAAAAACAGTAGACCAATAGCAGGCTGCTTTGAGAAGTACTTGATCGCTTAATTTTTTTTATTGTGGCAACAAATATGCAGATTCTTTAGGATAAGTTTGGAAATAGATATTAACCGCTTATCAGGGAGAAGGGTTGCTGCAGTTTACTTGAGTCCCCCTCACCCAATTTAACTCAACTTTGTGCACGCCTATGCTGCATACCGCCAATGCCACGAGTGGCTTAGCGGCCGGTGTATTATAAGGAACCATAGTGGTATAGCATGGGAAAACTTGCGTAGGTATACCCGCAGAAAAATTACCCGCAAAAAATCTCGAGACGAAGCTCATTGTATCGTAAGAAATATATGTCACGATGTTTAAACAGCCAGAGACGCCTTGGGAGCGCCCACATTGCAGAGGCCCTGCGCAGAGCTGGTGGAAGCTCGCGTTTAACTTGACAGGGCATCATAGCTCCAGATAAGCAGGAGCTGTTTTGGAATATTAATACAAAAAGATACGGGAAAAGATGAGGCCGCTGTCGTCTTAAGCGTTGATACACTTGCATTACCACGATGAATGCGTAAATGAATCGATAGACTTGGACGTTGAGACATGTATAATGTCACGTGGTCGTAACGTGAATGAAGGCAGCATGCTGTCGGCAAGTTCAAGACGAAACTCTTTATTCGGGCGAATACTTGTGCGCATGAAAATACTGTACAATAATACGGGTCAATAATACTGTACATACTGTACAATAAAACGGGTCATGGAGCATCGACTGTTTGTGACCTGATCAGCAGTAAAGCACCAATGGCATCGAAGATTCCAACGTTATCATTGGTGGCCGGGTTATTTCTAGGGAAAACTCTTATTGTTCGCATGTGGTGCGCAGTCTTATCGGAAAATTTTAAATCAATAAGCAAGGTTTCCTGACACTCGGGCGTTGTGAGCAGATGATGGTAGTTATGCGTGTAGCAAATCTTATAAAACGTGGGCGAAGCAATATTCAAAACGCTATATATCATTACATGTAAACGATATGTAGGGTGGGTTAGTTATTAAGTTTAATGGAACATAGTTTTATCGGCGTAAGGACACCAAAAAACATGGACGATTAACGCCATCATTTTCCGTCTCCTGAGCTTCTTCTCGTGTTCCGCCCTAACAGGTTTCACCATATTTCGCAGTTTCACCATGACAACGTGCTTTGTAAACTATGTGATAATTGGAGGTCAGGCGTAAAAAAAACAACAAAAGACCATTGCACAGTATTAGCCATACGTTAGGCCTATAGGCCTAACAAGTGATCGTTACATCCTACATAAATATGAAATGTTCAGAGCTGCATAGTGATTTCGCAGCATATAACATTCTTGAGTGAAAACAACTCGGCCAAGTGTGCTTTGATTAAACCTACGATTAACCGAGAGTTTTCGGTCGACAAGCTGAATCACATTTTGATTCAAATTCCTTCGTGATAATGTGTCGATTCAAGTTCCTGATGGCGAGAGCGAAGTGAAATTTCACAGATAGTTTGCTAGCCGAGGCTAACTGCACCGAGGCCGGCTCAAAGACTCGCATCACGGCTGTTCAGTTGACCGCTCAGACGTTGTCGTTCTTCTGCACCATCCCAATCCAGTCTTTAAAACTTTGATTTGATTGATTGATTTGTGGGGTTTAACCTCCCAAAACCACCATATGATAATGAGAGACGCCGTAGTGGAGGGCTCCGGAAATTTCGACCACCTGGGGTTCTTTAACGTGCACCCAAATCTGAGCACACGGGCCTACAACATTTCCGCCTCCATCGGAAATGCGGCCGCCGCAGCCGGGATACGAACCCGCGACCTGTGGCTCAGCAGCCGAGTCTTTAAAACTCCGAGAGGTGGCTTCTCAGATAGTGTGACGCGCTCAAATCTCGAAGGCCATGGTTCAACGTAGAACTCGGTCTGTTCCAGCGTTCGTGCTGGGCGCCTTCGTGCGCTGGCTGTGCGGCGAGCCTTCGTTGAACCTGTCGGCGTCGCTGCACCTGTCATTGACCGGTCGCGAGAGAGAAGAGTGGTTTCCTTTCCGGCTGGCATGCATGGCGATATGTTCCTGGCACTGATCGGAGGATCCATGGCAGCTGATCTGGCATTCGAGAGCAAGTGGCTTCCGCCTCACTACGACATATTCGGCTGCTACCGCGAACCTCAAACCGGAGACACCACCACCCGACGCAACGAATCACTCTGGATCAGAGTACGCAGCCATTACCAAACATTTTCTTTTTATTTGAAGTGTTACCGACAAAACATTTTTTTTCTGTTGTCGTTTTTATTATTATTCTTGTGTCTAATTAAATACCAAGCCCTATATACCCAACAAAATCCATCTGAAAAAGTTTTTACAATAAATGTTCTTGAAAGCTTCTTTTCGGATACTGTATCCTGATGTCGCAACGTTGTATGATGTCGCAACAAGGCGACAAAAACGCAACACATTTGTCCAGTTTTGCCAGCTGCATAACGAGTTAGTCGGCGTTGCTCCATTTCATGTGGCGCTGAGTTATGATTCGCAGAAACTTGCGCCTCAATGAAACCGTGGAGTGGTCTCCAAGGCTAGGAATTAAAATTAGTACGGGAGGTTGAGATGGTATGACACATATGACTCCCTGGTCATGACGTGAGTAATGTCACAATCCCGTCACGTACGTTGTCAAACCGCATACCCGCGGGCGGGGTATGTGCCACAGGTGATTGACAGTTTATATATACCTGTAGGGACGGCGAGAAGGTAATGGGGAATTTTAACACGTGAGTGTTAAGGGGAAAAAAAAGCTAACATCGGCAGCGTTGGCTCGATCAATGCAAGGAATAAATGTCAGGGTCCAGCTGAAATCGAACTCTAGCATTCCGCGCAGTGGCATTTAAGTATTCTACCACAGATCCATATTCCAGGTCTCGGAACTATTTTTCAAATAGACCCTAATGTTCTTGAAACGTCAGTTTTGGTTGCAGTGCAGGCTATCCAATTTTGTGGACATTACGTATGTAATCCTCGTCGAAATAACGTCAGTTGTAATTAGGCACTATTCACTGAAGTTGATTGATCTGTCAGTGTCCAGCGCGACCACTTCACTCTTTTCCTTCTGGGGTTACCATCTTCGCGAGGGCTACCAACCTCGAACACCAGCGATTCACATCAGTTCACCGCTTCTGGTGCTTCTGATATCCACGTTACTGATTATATAAAACGACTGATTATATAAAACGTAGGTGGCTGTTTGACGTATGTTTGTACGGGGTTCGTACATACCTTCACCGCCACTTCATAATGTTTCCCTTAACAAAATGATTGAAGCACAGTCAGCTTCCATCCACATGATACATATAACATCAATTCGCGCGGAACGTAGGATCTGCCGATTTTTTTCTTTAGCTGTTTTTAGTTTTTTTCATCTTTATTGTTGTTTCATATATCACCTTCTTTCTGGTCCTTATCATAACCCTCACAACACCCCTCCTCAGTTTCACTTCATTCCCACCTTTTGCTAAGGTTATGGTTATGCTAAGGTTTACCATTTCACCCCTCTATTACATCCTTTTAATCCTAACATCAGTCCTTTTCATAGCCCCTGCTCTTCTCATCGCTTACCTGAAGTATATTACATTAGGCTATGTCATGTATACCTGTTCCCTGCTTCTTCTTTTCGCTCCTACTTAACTTACTGACCTCATGCTTTACTAAGGTATACACATGCATCATCCTCATTTTCCTTTCATACCACACTGCTATGATGTATCAACGTACTTTAGAAAGGGTTATGCGACGTTTCACCATCCTTTTCTCAACCCTACTTACCTTCCTCACCCCTGCTATACTATATCTGTACATGGCTATTCTATACGTTATCTCTCCCTCTATATTGCTGCGTGCATAGCTGCATTTAGCGGCGAGATAGCGACGACAACGAAGAACGCGGATTCGCTCGAGAGGCGCAGCGCAGCAGAGTGAAGAAGAGGACAATCTTAGCGGCCTTCTCTGAGAGCGTCTCTACAAGTCCTACTGTCCGTGTTTTTAAATAAACCCCCCTGTCATTTATAACCCGCGACACTGGTGGAGGTGCTGGGTACTACCACCTCATGATCAGCACCCCTGTGAGAAGCCCCGAGTCCAGCCCTACGAGACAGCCACGCGTGGAGACGCCTGTGCACCGCTCAAGCCGTCGCCTTCAAGGTCTTGAACCAGAATTTGGCCTTTTAAAGGGAGCAACACTTCCGACAACCACCCCTACTCAAGAAATGGCAAGGAGTCCTGCACAGGTGACGGTCCAGAATATGCGCATCCCTGAACCATTTCATGGCCGGCCGAACGAAGATGCACAAGACTGGCTTGAGCAGTTCGAACGGGTGGCTAAATCGAACTACTGGAGTCTCGATGGAAAGCTCTTCCACGTATACTTCGCCCTTGAAGACGGCGCGAAGACATGGTTTATAAACCGGGAGGCAACATTGACGACATGGGAGGAGTTTTGTCGTCGGTTTCTTGACACCTTCGGTAACGCGGACCGACGCGAAAACGCACAACGCCTTCTTGAAGGACGCACCCAACAGCTGCATGAAAGCGTCGCCATGTTTGCTGAGGATATGGTGCGCCTGTGCCACCGCGCGGACCCCAACATGCCCGAGGCTCGAAAGCTAACCCATCTCATGAGGGGCGTCAAAGAGCAGCTATTTGTTGGTCTTGTGCGCAATCCACCGACAACAGTGGACGAGTTCACCAGGGAGGCCACCGCAATAGAGCGTGCGCTACAGCAACGGTACCGACAGTCTGATCGCCCGGCCACCGGCGCAGCTGCAGGCGCCGCCGCACTTACCGCAAACGACGAGTTTGCTTTACGCCACCTGATTAGACAGATCGTGCGTGAGGAGATCGCGAAGGAGAACGCGAAATACACATTGCAGTCACAGGCGCCCCCGCAGCAGGAGTCCACGGTAGCCTCCGTCGCTGAAATAGTTCGCCATGAACTTCGACAAGCGTTTGCCTCTCCTCAGCAATATTCTGCTCCACCGCACCGTCCAAACTCGTATACCTATGCAGATGCTGTGCGTCGTCCATTGGCTCCAGAAGTATCGTACCAGCCGAACGGATACAGCTATGCAGACGCTATTCGTCGACCCACGCCCATGCCAGCGCCGCAGTACCTCGAACCGTATCCTGTGGCAGCCTGGGCTCAGCAGGATTCTGTCAGGCGACCCTATATGCGGAAGACCGACATATGGCGCACTGCGGATCGTCGACCACTCTGCTACAACTGTGGAGAGCCAGGGCACATTTGCCGTTTTTGCCCACATCGCCGAGCTGAATACCGCGGTAGTGCACCTACAGCTACGCGCCGACAGTTCGACGAAAGCCGTGCCCCCATCGACGACGACCAGGCTGGCAGGCGGGAAGGCTCTTCTACCTTCCGGACGCGGTCACCATCACCGGCTCGCTTTGGTTCACCAAGCCGCCGTAGTTTTGCTGACGCCGTCAGAGGTCGGTCTCCCAGCCCACGGCGGGGGAAACTGAAAGCAGCGACCTCTGGGGGGAAGGTTGCAAGCCGTCGAATTGCCGAAAAACCCCCACTGCTGCCGAAACACGTGAGAGACGACGATGAAGACTTCGCCGAAAAAACTGTGACTGCCGACCTGCTGTGACGATTGACGGCGTTGAAGTGACGGCCTTAGTCGATACGGGTGCAGACTTCTCCATAATGAGTGAACGATTGGCAGACGAACTCAAGAAAGTCAGGATGGAATGGACGGGCCCTTATATCCGAAGTGCTGGAGGTCAGATAATGACTCCCACGGGAAAATGTACAGCAAGACTCACTATTGAGAATGTGGCTTTTGTAGCCACATTTCTGATCCTACCGGAGTGCTGCAAACCTATGATTCTGGGAATGGACTTCTTAAGAGAGTACGGTGCTGTGGTCAACATACGCGACGGTGTGATCACATTTGCCGCTGACAAGTCTGTGACCACTGATCCAGACCAAGAACCCAGGGTGTTACGTGTGGTCGACGACGACGTCTGCGTGCACCACTGTCATGTAGTCTTGTTTCCGTGTGTTGTGCCGTGCACTGTAATGAAGACGCCATAGTCGAACGCATCACTGACCTTCTTTTTCACCAAGGCATCGCCATCGCTCGCGGTATTGTCAGCTTAGTGGATGGGCGCGCAGACGTGCTTCTGACCAACTTCACGAATGAGCGCCGGCACATCGGTAAAGGCACGGCTGTGGCGTACCTCGAAGAGCTGGACTACTCTCACGACTGTCTTCTAATGCAAGGGGAAGCCACAGTTCAATCACCTCCACATACACCACCAGTTGATATCGGTCCGAGTCTAACACCTACTGAAAGACGCCGTCTTATGGAGCTGCTCGACCAGTTCAAGGACTGTTTCTCATCGACATCACGAGTGGGTCGAACGCCTCTGACTAAGCATCTCGTAATTACAGAAGACACAGCAAGACCGATCCGACAGAACCCTTATCGCGTCGCTCAGAAAGAACGTGAGGTAATCCAGCAGCAAGTCAAGAAGATGCTAGAGGATGACGTTATCCAACCATCGAAAAGTCCTTGGGCATCTCCAGTGGTACTCGTGAAAAAGAAAGACGGCAGCTTGCGTTTCTGCATCGATTATCGTAAGCTGAACCATGTTACAAAAAAAGACGTTTATCCATTACCACGGATCGATGACTCTTTGGACAGGCTACGGCATGCACGCTACTTCTCGTCAATGGACCTTAAAAGTGGATACTGGCAAATAGAAGTAGATGAGCGCGACCGAGAAAAGACCGCCTTCGTGACGCCAGACGGGCTTTATGAATTCAAAGTCCTCCCTTTCGGTCTATGCTCAGCCCCAGCCACGTTTCAGAGACTAATGGATACCATTCTGTCCGGCCTGAAATGGAAAACATGCCTTGTGTACCTCGACGACGTGGTCGTTTTTTCGGCCACGTTTGAAGAGCATCTAAAGCGGCTACTGTCAGTCCTGCAAGCCATACGGTCCGCTGGACTCACACTCAAACCGGAAAAAATGCCACTTCGGCTTCGAAGAACTCCAGTTCCTGGGACA